TTGAGATTAAACAATTTTCTCTCATTTTTTTGAACTTTTTGACCAGTGACTTGATTCCACACAGAGCTTCAAAACTTTCCGGCTAGCGTGCAGTTCGATGAGATGGTCAGACCGAATTCTATACTTTTGAATTGCCACCCATTATAAGGGGATTGCTTGGAATGGGAATTCGTTTGATAGCGAGCCTCCAAACGAGTTCTATGGAAACTCATGTCAATCTCCTCCTTATCAATCGTCGTCATTTGATTCGATCGCTGTCGCCTTCCAACTGACATATCATCAGCTTTCAACGCCGTCGGACATTCGACTAGAAGGATGACGAACGTCTGGGAAATCGGTTCCCTCCTAGCAATTATCACTCACTTATGTGGCACCGTCGGCATTGCTTTGACATCGAATCGTTCTGTGACTGTTTCCAGCGGCTCGCTACCACCTGGGCGTGCCTTTGTGAGTCTCCCAGTGCACCTGTGGACTTTGCTTCTCATGTCCTCGTTCTTTCTCGGGTAATTCACTCAAAACCTAATCAACTGTAATCACTGCGTAACAAGATTGTGCGTAGCTCAGGTTGATAACATTTGCGATTGTCATTTTATAGTGGATTGACTTATTCCAGAGAATTACCAGGAGCCTTAGGTTTTAATGTTTACTGGCATCTGTTAGTTTACGTGGATCGGATTATCACATTCTCACATAAACAAATTCCTCAGCGCCTTAATTATCTCCATCCCCTCTCTCTCTCGCATTGCTGGCGCGCCATAACGGTCTTCCGGTCTCCTCCGTTCGACTCGCTACCTGTTTGCTTCGTAGCTGTAATGAAAAAATGGATGTTCTTTATCTGATGTAGACTTTAGGCTTTGCTGATTTACCACTGGGGACAAAGTGGCCAACGTCCTTTATTCGACCCGGTAGCTTCCTTGTCGCCAGTGGTGAAATTTTGGTGGTCCATCTCAGTTACATTTGTGCACTTTGAAACAGGGCACGTCCTGCAGTTGGGAAAAATTTACGAGTACTACCTATAATTCACGAAAAATACCACTCCTCTCAAATTTACTCCTCTAGAAC